GACAACTCAACTGGGCTCTACATGAAAGAGACGTGTTTCTTACCTCAAATTACTTTCATTCAAGAGTCTTGATCTCATGTGTGTTTTCTGGGGTGGGAAGCAAAGCAGATTGCTACGAACCTTGACAGTACAAGTTATGTTTGTAGAAGTGGATGACAGAGAAATAGGCTGTCATACCTACCAAAACAGTCTCCAACATATGATATCCATGTCCTGTAGCCCTTCCTAGGATAGGTCTTGCGCTCTTCACGCATGGGCAACACATGTATCGTGAACCCTTGAACTGCTTGGGGCTCCCACCCTGTCCAGGTCACGATCGATTCATTCGCACAGAAGAAAAAACGAGTCATGAGGTTCATGTTGTTACTTCGCTCCTAGTAACTTCTTGTTCCTAGTAGTAAGGTCAGGAGCTACCAGTTCCTTGCTCCTGCTAGCGATGACCTTTGCTATTAAAAGCGGCCTCTTGTTCCTAGTAGTGATGCTTCTGTTTTGGATTGTCTTGGCATTTCCATTTCTTCGGAGTTGTGGTGTCACAAGTTCTTTGTCCGAACGGCAGACTTAGACCGCTTAGACCCCACCGGCGAGTTGGTGAGGAGTATGATGCACACCAGAGCAACCTGACACCTGGTGGTTTGATCGTTTGACACAACTGTTGGGCCTCAATCTGTGACATTGGGCGTTCAATTTGGGGCAAGCGACCGATTGACCCACAAGACTAGCATTGATGTCGAGATATGTTGAGTGTTTTCAGTACGTTGGAGGTGAATACCGCAGCTCCCTGTCAGCAGACCTACTGCGCTAGCCTACTGTAAAACTAAGATTTTTTTAGTGGGTTGAGAATAAATGACACAGTCCCCCCAAAGGTGGTTTATATCGACCCTCATCTAAAAGACATCTTGGGGGTCGTGCTGTCTACTCTGAAACCACTGCACCTGTTTACTGTGTTTACTGTTTGTATTTGTTCATTGGCTTTGGCTTTGATTTGGTGATTTGGAAAGTCGACTTAGGCTAGAGTCTCTGCTAAAACAGAGGTCCCGGCATCCACTCACAGACAAGGAGCTGTTTTACGTAGCACTCTTTCCGACACCTTCTCCTTCACCCACCTCATGGTGGGCTCAGCAGGGGAGATGACTATTGCAACAGGGTGTGAAAGTTTGCTGGAATGTTCAGAACCAGACAATTGATGGTATATATAATTGCAGACTCTCATAGTTAAACCTGACGAGCCCTGCAGTTCACAACCAGACTGTCAGACTTGCCGAATGTTTGTTTCTGGTGACGCAATATGTTATGATGCGTGGCACGGCATGGCACTGTGCAGTGTGACAACGTTGATCGCCCTCACCAGGGGTACCTTTTGATGCAAAGGACCACATGTACAGAAATAGGCAGTGGGTCAGTGCATCGGGTTTGGAATAGTATATTTGTTTAAACAATAAAGACATACTAGTACAGACAATTGAAAGACAGCGTACAGTAACAATTGAGTAGGTACAGAATCCCAACTACCATGGTGCTTGCGGGGGTATTCATGGACTCACGGATGGAAGACCGACTTGAGTGATACTTGGGGGACCACAATTTCAATTGCTTCGGATTAGGAAAAAAAACAGAAAGTACAAAGAAGAGTATGGGAAAGGTGCAGAAAGTAGCGAAGAAAAATACGACATACCAATAAACAAGTTAGATCGTATACGGTTTCTCAGCTCTGGATGCGACTCAACAAGTGTCGTTGCCGACGGCTCTAGAGGTTCATACGTCCGACATTGGCTCATGCCCCCCTACCTAGAAGCGATGGCCTCCAACCCGTGGCCTCCACCCTAGCAATTAGCAATGGCTTCCACCCTAGTAGCAATTGCCTCCAACCTACTAGCAATGGCCTAGCAATGGCCTCCAACCTAGTAGCAATGGCCTCCAAACCAGTAGTGATGGCCTCCTCTAGAGGACCATGCCATGTCACCTGACACCGCGCGCTGAGAACTGCGCTGGTTCGCGGTGATTTCATGCGCACGCCGACGCACTCCACCGCTCAGAGCGGGGCGTTCGGCAAGGGCCTGGGACTGATTGGCGGTTTTGGGGTCTTACTATCTTACTACTAGTAGCAAATAGCTAGTAGTTAGTAGCTTCTGGTCACTAGTAGTAGTGCCAGGAGCTACGTTCGTAGCTTCTTGCTCCGTTCGTAGCCATGCCCTTTGTTCCTAATAGCTTCTTTGTTTTTAGTAGTGTTTGTTGGGGATTGCTCAGTTGTGGCACACCTTTCTCTACTAAGGGCCTACAGGGTCAGCCAAGCTCGTTTCACAAGTGTCTTTATTCTAGACTTGAGAGTTGATCATCCCGGACCTCTATCGCACTTTAGGCTTAGTCACAGGGGGCGCATGCATGCTGGCTACCTGTGGGGAGAAGGTCGAGACAAACTGCAAAAAAGGATCTGCAGCTAGTTCCAATGTGAGGAGGTTTGAGAACTTCATGTTGTCGGTCATTATAATTATTCACGAAAGGTAGCTTGAGCTACCTGAGTTCTCCTTGCTTTAGCAAAAATGTATTACAATCAGGAGTTGGGATTGTGCATTGAATTTGGTCCTGTAAGAGTTGATTCTGTTCGTCGGGGGGGGGGGGGCCCCCCCCCCCCCTGGATCAAATCCCCCCTTGCGCCGGTTCACGCCGTCGTGGACTTCTACCAGGGTTACTTGTGATTGCCTGCTACCTTTCGTTCACCCCCTCCTCTCTCAAGTCCACTCACATGCCTTAGAGAAGCATCCAATATGTCTACAGTTTTTGTACGTGAAGGATTTTTGTCCATGAACCGGAGACACGAATTTGCAGGACAGCCAGAGCGCAATTGCTACTGTGCCAGGATGGCAACTAAGGTCCTTCAAAAAGAAGGCGTAAATGTCCTTCGCAGGGGAAAGGGAAAATCCCCTTGCGTGAAGCCGCAGTAGTTCATGAGATAGCTTTTGATGGCAGTTTGAACGATGCACAGGCTCCAGGGTGGGGTGTTCCTGAGTTCGTAAGCCATTTTGCTGAGACATTGGCATGTTGCTTCTTTGAAATAGATCTAACTGCATCCCTTCCTTAGGTCCTGTATCCCTTGACACTTGCCAACAAAAACACTGCAGGAATGGCGAAGAGGACAGCTCCAATCCTTGGAAGATCTTGGCCTCCTTCGGCTTTTCAAGCGGGGGATGTGTTGGTCAGCGGCGACAGGGAGCTCATAATCGCAGCTTCCGCGCTGACCCCCAAAAGGTCAGGACCCGTGAGGTCTTCGCGGCTTCCCTCCGGTCCACCGGGGTGCGTCAACAGAAGCACCGGGGTGCGTCAACAGGTTGGAACGCGGCAGGGCTGTTGGCTGCTGGCCTGAAATGTTCCCCAAGCAGGGTTGCCACACCAGGGTAGTTGTTCAGGCCGGGTTTTTGATCGGAGGGTCTCATCGGCCTGTCCGGCTAATTCCCTACTATTCACAATATCGAAACATTCATTCACCTCGAGATCTTCGAAGGTGCTCCTCTGGACTGCGCTCTCGTAGTGGTGCCGTGCACATTTTTCGGACTTGGTGGTCACTGTTCGTGGCAGGCGCAAGGGAAAGCTAGTGTTTTGGTGGTCCAAAGATGGTTTTTCGTGGCAGGTGCAGGTGGCCTCTACATTCTAGATCGATAGAACTCTGTATCTCAAGACATCTAGACCTTTGCACTGCTAGACCTCGAACGACCTCTCACACTCTAGACCTCTACACCGGACCGGGCATGGAAACTCTCAGGGCTTTCTTTCTTACAGGCTGTTTCCAAATTCTCAGAATGTGTCCAGTTCTGCTTCATGTTTTCTCTATCGGATCCGGGGAAGCCGTGGATCGCCCTAGCCATAAAATCGCTGGGACGGGCACCCTTTTTCATGGGGACGATGAGTGACGTCCCTTTCTTCGGGATTCAAAAAGGACCGCGGAACGTTGGCGGTTGCTGATTGCTGAGGATGTAAGCCTGGTGCGGAACCCGCAACCGTTGGTTCATGAGTTGGTCCGAAGTGAGTGGGAAACACACCGGAAAGTGAATGGCTACAGCAAATTCATGCACTGACAACGCCGCTGCAAAAGCAATGAGGTTGGTTTCAAGCAGAACCCCCTTTGGAACCTATACTTTCAAGCGGCAGTTTCCTCAACCCAATGCCAAAACCATTGATCTGGATGGTTTACAGGGCCTTTCACTAAGTAGGCGTCCTTTTGTTCACTCTGTATCCCGGGGATGCTTCAAACCAGCCAGCATAATGGATTATTGTCAACCATGAATGTTCTATGAGTCTATGATGTTCTATGACGTTTGTGACCTTGTTGGTTGAGAGTCCACACTTTTTCTGATATGGTTTGTGCACAAGGTTCGTTGTCATGAGACCACGCCAAAACTGACACCTATTGTCGTTTCTGCCTTACATGTTGTCTCGGTTGCTGGACTTGCGCACGCCCTTAGAGAGAATTTGCCTTGGTGCAACATGTTTGCTATGTTTTTGGGCTGAATCCGCAGCATGTGCGCAGTGAATCTGATATTGTGCATGGTTTTGTTGCAACACGTAAAAACTTATTTCCCAACTACCCAGCACCGAGACCTTCAACATGCAGTCTCCGAACCTCCAAAGAGCTCTTGCAATCTGTCAAACCGTTCCGCCACTCGAAGCAGAAGTCCATTCGATAATACTTCTTGTCGCTCATTTAAAACCATTGAGATGATTAGCTCTTGTGTTGAGTGGCATTCACTTTGAAAGACTCAGCTCCGCGTTTTCCATGGTCTGTTGTCAATGCCACGCGCATGTTTGTGGGTCATTGAGAGGCAGGTTTTGCATGTCCATGTTACTTCCAGAGAAGTGTGCGAGTTCTTGTCCTGGTCCTGAACTTTCTCATGTCTCATTTCGTTCAGGCTTACACCATGATAAACACCCAAGAGATCAGTAACCTTGAGACCCTCACGACACCAAAAACGGATGCCTACGACATCGACTTTCCTACAACACCTGCGCCCATGGCTTGCAGCTCCCACAGCGATGGCGTGCACGTTTGGGACTTGGATTTGCAGCTCGAGGGCGACTACAGGCGCAGAATTCGAGACCCTCAGTGAGAGACTCACGGCTTTCGCAAGGAGAAGACGAAGCCTTTTGAGTTTCTTTGGTCGAGTCCCTTGGGGTTGGGGTTTGCAAGAGTTGTTTTTGCTTCCTCTGCAGTCTCCCTTCGGTCTCCCTTCGCGTTCCCGTCCGATTCCCTCGGGCTCCCACCGCCATGGATTCAACTGCCTTTATTGATCAAGAACCGTTATTGTTTTACTAAAGCATGTTTACAGCACACGAAACAGCTCCACATAGCGTCAAGCATGTAACCTCAGGGTCACAGCAGAGGCGCTCTTGGTTTCGCAGAGGCGCTTCCGGCCACAGCCCCGGGCCTGTTTGCCCAAGCCCTTCTTCCGGGCCAAGAAGCGCAAACACCACGAGGCGCTCACACCACGGGGGCGGATGACGAGACCAGGAGACAGCACGCTTCGAGTTCACGGGGATCCAAGGAAATCCATCGGGATCCGGTATCTCTTCATCTAAGATGTGGTTATGAGTCAAACAATTCAAACACCTGTCATGTCCCACCAAAGCAAGGTAATTAGGTTGAGATCCCCTTTATTGAGGTATTTGTTCATGTTCAAGTTGTTATTAGTGTCACCCAGTGCCTTTGTCCTCCTACGAGGCGAAGGGCATATATAATGAGGGTTAAGCTTTCCCCGATGAAGTTCGGAATCCGGGCGAGACCTGACCACATGTCGCCCTCACAGGAACGCCCTGTGGATGTGCCATGAGGTCTCTGTGGATGTGTCATGGGAGCCGCTGATTGACAGCAGCAAACCAGTGAGTTGGGGTTTGGGGTTGACCAGTTGACCATCACATGGAGAGGTCAACCAATTGAAGTGAAAAATTTGAACATTCGACCCACCCCCAGCAACAGTCGAACACCTTCTGATCGGGTGTTGGCATCAATTCCAGGACATCCTCAGCAATTGGGACGCACAGACGAGCGCTCTGTCGCCTGAGCAAGAGAGGCTTCTGCTTCGGTGCCAAGAGATGCCAAAGATGTTCCTCGTTGGTAAATCCTTGGTGTCCCAACTCCAGTGGTCAATCTCTTGGAATTGGATCAGGTGGTTAAACCACCTCAATGGTCCCAATTCCTCTTCTTTTTTCCTGTAACACTGTAAGGAATGGAATGGACTCATTGATGTATCCGCAGGGAATGGGCCGCCTGTGTCACAACAAAGTAGGAGTTTGGAAGTTAATTGCAAAGCATCTACAGAGGCACGCTGTGCCCAAAGTATATGGTTATGAGTCATAAGTGTAAGTTTAATGCGGTTCAATGCATCATTTTCTGCAAGCCTTTTGGAGTTTTTGCACACCGTGCCTAAAATAGATGTATATTATACGTGTGATTTGGGTGCCACCCAAAAGGACAAGAGACAGAGCTTTTGGCATGAGCGGTTTCCAACCTTGCCGCCCGCCGCTCTCACGGTTCAACTTGGCCCATGAGGGGCCCCTTGAGCATTCACGCTTGCTACGCAAAAGAGTCGCATGCAGCTTTCACGTTCCACGTTGACACTTCGAGCGGTCACACGTGATAGGTATTCACTCCATACCTTTACATTGGTAGCGGAGCCGTCCAAAGTGACGGCTCCCGCGCGCTGATGGCCGGACGCTCTCCCTCGCGAAGGGAAAACCCATCCTTCGCGGCAGCAGCTGGACAAGCCAATGGCGCTGGCGGAAGCCGAGACCTGAAGGACAACTTCGTGCCGCGCTTCGAGAACACCACGACCTCCTACAAGGAGTGGCGGCGCCGGGTCCTTCTCTACGCCCGGAAGTTGGAAATCCAAGGTCGAAAGACCGAAGTGGCACTGAACGTGCTGTCGACCTTGGAAGGCTCCAGCTGGACTCAATGTGAAGACCTGGATTTGAAGGAGCTGGAGTCCGATGAAGGCCTCAACATTTTGTTGAAGCGCCTGGATCGCCAATGGTCCTACGACGACAAGGTCGAGATGCCGAACAACTTCGAGGCATTCTTCTTCAAGCTCAAGCGCCGACAGCACCAGACCCTCCTCGAGTACACCACCGAGTTCCACCAGGTGCTGCGCCAGGTGACCAAGCACAAAGTCGACCTCCCCGAAGAGGTTACAGGATGGATGCTGCTCAAACGAGCAGGTCTGACACGTGAACAAGAGCAAATGGTGCAGACCCAGATCGGGTCGGTCCTGACCTTGGGCGCAGTTGAGCAGTCCCTCTTCCTGTTGTTCGGACAGGATTACCAACAGGTTCATGTTCCTCATCACCTCCGCCGACAGCAGCAGCAACTTCGATGGAAGAAACCCCAAGGCATCCACATGGCCTGGGATGATGAAGCTGAAGAGTTCTTCGAGGCTGAGGAGTCCTACTACATGGACGCTGATTCGGAAGGCGACCTCCAGGAACCTGATGAATGGTTTGAGCCCGAACTCCCTGATGGTACATTCTATGAGGAGACCATCGACGACACCGAGAACATCTATGACACAGAGGAGTTTGATGAGGTCTACTCCACCTACATTGATGCCAAACAAAGGCTCAACCAACTTCGCCAAAGCCGAGGATTCTACCCAGTGGTGGCAGTTGTTGATGGAAAAGGTCAAGCCCCACTAGTCGCGCAAAACCCAAAGGGCTCGGCAAAAGGTGGAAAGACCAAGAACAAGTCCAAGGGCAAGAACAGTGGCTCCAAAGGATCCTCAAAAGGTCCAACTGGCAAGAACCGAGCCAAGGCAGCTCTCACCTGCCTCCGATGTGGCAAAGCCGGACACTTTGCGGCCAACTGCCCATCCGTCCAGCAGACAGGCGGATCCTCTCCGAAGAGACGAGTGATCGACCTCGAAGACCCCATGATCAACATGGTCATGAACATCGAGTACAACTCCGACGACATGGATGAGGGCGAGGTCACTGCGGACGAAGACATCTTCTACGACGTCGAAGACGCCTACGTGGAAGGTGAAGTGTTGGTTCGAGCCGGAGGCTGGTTGACGAACGAGCCGGACACCTGCATTCAAGACCAAGGCGCAAGCTCATTCTTGATTGGCTCTGAGTACGCCTTGCGCTACATCAAGTGGCTTGAGATGATCGGCTATCCCATGGACGAGCTCACCTTCAAGAGATGCGACAAGTCCTTCAAGTTCGGAGGCGACGCCTCCGGCCACTCACAATGGATGGTGGAGCTCCCGGTCAAGATTTCTGGCCATCCTGGACGCATCCAAGCCTACATCATCTACGGGGCCACGCCCATGCTATTCGGCAGACCTCTGTTGGAAGCACTTCAGGCCGAGATCAACTTCGGCGAGTCCAAGATGAGACTACTTCATCAAGAATGGCAGGACATCCCTCGTGGCAGACAGGGCGCTATGCTTCTTCGCTTGGCAGCTGACGTCAAGCACCCCTGTGACTTCAAAGAGCCCGTCTTCGATTTCCGCTGTGAAGATGACCACGGCAGCGGAACCACCCTGCGCGAGTTTCTTGATGACCTCAACGCCCACGAGCGTTACTTCGAGATGACCACTGAGGTCAAAACCTACTTCTCGCTCCACGACCATGAAGAGACCTTCGCCATTGTTGAGGAAGATGATCAACAGCCTCTTCTACCCGGCGAAGCTTGCAAGACCATCGAGCAACTTCAGAAGACAATGTCTTGGATTGAAGCCCAACTCCAGGAGACAGAGAAGCACGTACAGCAGGAGATTCTCCACGCTCGTGACAGCGGACAACATCGCCGCCGCAAGCTGATCTGGGAAGTCTATGCCGGTGAAGGCAAGATCACGAGCCTCCTGCGATCTCATGGCGACGTTGATGTCATGAGGTTCGGTCTGGGAGATGGTTGGGACTTCAACAAAGCCTCACACAGAAAGCAGTTGCTTCGACTGGCCGACGACTTAGAGCCAGACGAGATCTTCATGTCTCCCAATGCCAAGTGCACCTTGTGGTCCAGGATGCAACAGATCAACGTCTCCAACGCTGAACAGGCCGCCGACTTGACTGAACGGCGCGAGATTGACGCCGAGACCCACCTCACCATGTGCAAGAAGCTCTACATGAAGCAAGTTCGACGAGGAGCCCACGCCCACATCGAGCACCCTCGCTTGAGCCTGGCCTGGGAGACCAAGCAGTTCAGGAACTTGCCTGGCCACAAGGCCATTTTCGACCAGTGCGCCTATGGAGCGACGATTCCTGATGACCACGGCATCGAACAGCCCATCTTGAAGACCGCCCGCATCAACACTACCAAATGGGCGATGTTCGAGATCATGTCCAAGAGATGCGATGGTTCACATCAACATCAACGACTTGAAGGTCGCAACAGGTGCCACCGAGCTGAAAACTATCAAGATGAGATGGCAGCCCACTTGGTCAGAGCCCTATTGTTGGATGAAGGCCTACATGAACAAGTATATGCAGTTTCTGAAGATGCCGCACCTCTCACAGGAGCACTTCGCAAGTTGGCCTCCAACCATGGGCATGAGGCAGCTCGGATCGCACAGCGACTTCATCGCAACCTTGGCCACCCACGGAAAGAAGTCTTGCTCCATGCCCTGAGGAGTCGGAACTGCAGCCCAAAAGTGCTGGCAGCTGTTCAGGATTTGGAATGTCCTTTCTGCGAGATCCACTCCGTGAAGAACGGCAACGCACCAGGACACCTTGATCGACCCACAGAGTTCAACAGCCAACTTCAAGCCGATGTCCTCTGGCTTGACCTGGACGAGGTTGGCATGGTGATCGAACCTGGTCGCAAGAAGAACAAAACCCGCAAGATCGCCATCCTGGTCATGGTTGATGTCGCCACCCGCTTTATGGCAGCTCGCACCGTCATGGACGAAAAGGGCCCATCACTACAGAAAGCTTTGGAAAGAGCCTGGATCCAACATCATGGACCTCCAAAGCAGCTTTATGTGGATGAAGGTACTGGTTGGGCTTCTGACTCTACAATGCAGTGGTGCGAGTCCAACGACATCGAGATCCGCATCTCACCTGGTCAAGCTCACACCAGAACATCCATAGTGGAACGACGACACCAGATTGTGCGCAAAGCAGTTTCAATCTTCATGATGGAGAACAACCTCACAGGTTTGGATGGCGTGCACAGCGCACTATCTTGGGTGGTTCCAGCTCTCAACAGCAACAGCTTTAAGTCAATGGCTTCACGCCCACTCAGCTCGCTCTCGGTCGAGAACCTGCTCTTCCCGGACTGTTGACTGATGAACGAACAGGTCCATTGCAGTTGCAACTCACCGAGCAGGAGAAATTGCATCGAAAGCTCAACCTCAAGTTCGCCACGCAGAGTGCTTGTGGCAAAGCTGAGATTGACGTGAAACTTCGCCGAGCTCTACTCCGACGCTTCACTGGCAAGGACGAGGAGCTTCTTCCAGGCGAACGATGCTACTACTGGCGTGATGCTCCCGACAAGAACCACATCATCCGCTGGAGAGGACCTGCGGTAGTGGTTGCTGTGGAACGCAACCCGGACTCAGGCACCGTCAGTGTCTACTGGCTCGCTCACGGCACTGTGCTCCTTCGTGCCGGAGTTCAACACGTTCGCAAGATGGTTAATGATGGCGGACAGATCGGAGCAGTGCAACGAGCTCAACAAGCCCTGGACGGCCTGAGACAAAGGAGATCCGTTCGCATCGTGGATTTGCGAAAGGCCAACAAGCGATCGATAGATGAGGTTGACCCTGAGGTCAGTGACTATGAGCCTTCGCTTCCAGATCCTCATCATCCCGCTCCGTTGACTATGTCCTCGCCTGCTCTACCTGACGGAGTTCAACAAGCCTTCGACCGTTCAATGCAGGAGGCAGTTCAGTCGAGAGCAGAGGCATTGCCAGCAGCAGAACCTCCAGAAGCAGAACCTCTGGATGCTCAGTCAGAGCCACCGCAGCTGGAACCTCAGTTGGAGGAACGTCAACCCCATGAGCGACATCCAGAACTTCCTGAACTGGATGACGATGACTTTGAGGAGCCTATGGGTGAACCTTCTCACCTCCAAACTCCAATGGCCAGGGCGGATCAACAAGACCCA